AGGTTTCTGGAGTGGAGGTGGCAGGTGGCCAGCTGAACTGCTGCTCGAAATACTGTGCCCAGCGGTCTAAACGTTCTGCTTTGTTGCATATCAGGGAGCCATTTTTGTCCCTGATTATTTCGCTGACAAGAGGTTTCCGAGGACCAGTCGAACGAATCAAGTGGAACAATTTGCGCACGTTTCCAGCTGATCCCCCCGTGATTACCACATTCACTACTAGCCCCTGGAAAATGGTCACTATCAGCGACTCTGCCCAGTTGTCTGCGACAGATTCCTGGTGACCACGACAGTTATGGTTCGAAGTATTCAGCCCACCGGTCGAAACGTTCTTTATTCGAGATGGTCGTTCCATTCTGCTGCTTGTTGATTTCACTCACAGGTGGTTTCAACGGACCGGTCGCATGGATCAGCTGAAATCATCTTCGGGCATTACCGGCTTTCCGGGCCCCTTCCATTTCTTTGGCTTTCTGTATCCACCACACTTTCCGGTTGGCTCGGATGCTCACTTTCACTTGATGTCTTATGATTCGTCGCACCATCTTATGTTCCGGACCTGTTGGGATATTTCTCCGAGGTTCAAGCAGTGCCGCCGTCCAGTCTGATGTCCAGTGCTTGAGTGCGCTTGTTGGTGCCGTGCCAGAGTCGAAATTCCCAGCACTATGCAGAGAAGTGACAACCTCGTTCCAGTATGAGTTCAAATATGATGATGGAACATTTGGAAGACTCTAGAAAGCGATTCTGGTTAACTCATGTAACACCCGGATCTGTCAGTCTTTCAGTTGCTAAGCTATTTGTCCGCACCTTACGCGACCCAGGGGAACTTAGGGAGAAGCGACTTCGGACGAGTGTGCGTAGTCGGAATCCACAAACGTGCTTTAAAACGACCGACACAACGTGCAGAGCGTTTATTAGACGTCCAAATCCAGATGAAATTCGCTTGTACGTACGTCGTATGTAAAGTGTACGAGGTGGTAACATTCTACAAACTCCGACGCTTTCCGGACGCGCCATTGTCAACCGGCATTTTGTGGATATCGAAACATGGTTAGCTGTTGGTTCCCTCGCAGTTTCGATCACTCAAAGCCCGTCTTGATGTTGGATTGGCAAGTGGCCCTTTCTTCTGGCCAGTCCTATGAGAGGTAGGTATCTTGACCGTATCCGTGTCTAACTACTAGCGGTAGATCGTTTTCAGTACCTAATATAGGGGACTTTATACCCACGTTCCAGATCCAGTGCTGTGGTGATTTTGTGGCTATGCAAGCTGGAACTCAGTTCCTAAAGATTGAACCATGCCAGAAAGGCCCATGGGGAGCAGCCCGACGAAGAACAGCAAGTCTCTGTACTAGGAAAAGTATTCATTACTGGTAGCCACACCAAATGGGAACAACAACAACAAATGAGAACCTTCACTGCCGCAGAACCATCGCGCTTTATTTTAATAAAGCCTTAAGATTGTAAGATGAAAAATGGGACAAGAAGAGGGAACTGTCGCTAGCCTAAAACAAACATCCAGACACATCTGTCACTCACAGTCTAGATAGAAGCGCATTCGTTGGTCACCACGGCGCTCAGCGCCTCCAGCCAAGTACATCAAACTTTCCTATATATAGGAAGCGACAACACAGTAAAAACGCACAGACTCGCGCGCGCGCAGGGAGCAGGACGTCAACCTCTCCACAAGTCCACGGACAATCATGGAACACGTGTAGCAGCCAAACTGCGGAGAAAACACGTTACCGCCGTCCGAACTTTCACCAAGGGACTCTCACATACGATAAGTTCCTTTATTGACTTGCTCCCATTTCGCATTGTATTCATTTTTATACGTGTCGCAACCATGTTAAAAACTTCTATTAGTGCACATTCACCTTCTGATTTGTATTATGGTTATCGCCACCTGTGCACTAATAGGGCCACTACCTCATTCTGTAAGACCCAAAAATCCCAGAAATCATGCATCCTTTCGCTAGCATGGCTGCTGGGCACCAAAAGAGTGCCAAAGCTGAACAGTTTGACTTTTTGGCTCCAAACTCTACATTTCCGATCGCGGGAAAGTGATAGGGCGGGGGAGATACAACCAATTATTAGAGATGACAGCATAATCAGCTACTTGGGCAAACTAGGGAGCTACCCAGTGGTAGCTCTAATGCAGAGTGCCAGTGACTGCGCAGTCGAGTCATGTCTGCCAGTGTCATTAACCACTGGTGAGTTGGATTGCGCGTTCCCCATCCAGTAAGATGGAAGTTGACAGCCCGACTGAATCTGCTAGCCAATGTTTTCGTTGCCAGATCAGAGACTCTCCCTCTCTCGGTCGCTTCCGCCGGGTGAAAGGAGACGCGGGGTACATGTCCTAACGAGCGTTATATATAAAGCGTGAGGAACTCCTCCATCGGAGCGAGATGGCTCAATGGTTAGAGCGCGAATTTACTGACTGGAAGGTCCGTGGTTTGAACCCGACTTTACCTCTCTACTTCCTCTGTCTAGACTTGGGCAACCTGGCAGTATCCATCCCTTCCTTCCATGCTTCCTTCAAACGGCATATCAGATTGGCACCGTAGCGGTGTTACAGCTGAGCGATTTTTTTTAATCCATTGTAGAGAGAGTTCGTTTTTCCTAAAACCATCTGGTGTACCTCAGCTTTGCTAATCCGTTGTTCCCTGACCAATATTTCGGAGACACCGACGTCCAACTGACAACTTCAGTAGTTCTCCATGTGTAAAGGCCATAAAGCAGTGGGAGTCGCATCGCAGCGGCGTATACTGTGCTCTCGTAAGCCTGTGTGACGTCAAGCAGGCGCTATAGTTATCGGAGTTTGGCGAAAGCTGCCCTGGCCTTCCTGATTGGAGAAGTAATCTCATCTTCAGTCATCCCACCGGAACTTATACAACCCCCCAGAATAAGTTACCTACCACGTCAATTGGCTCGCCTGAAGCGTGAGTTTTAAGTTTGATCCAACCCAGTCTTGCAGCAGCACTACACTTTGCAGGTGTGAAGCTCATGCCAAACCTTGCGGCAGAGTTATTTAGGTTATTTAAAATCGTTTGCGTTTTTTGAATGATCAAATAAAGAATAAATCATTCAGCTGTAGCACTCTTTTGGCGTTCAACTGCCCGAAGGAAGTACGAGGGTTGTTATAATGCAAAGTTGCCCAAACTAAACGAGACGTCGGGATACATAGATCGGGTTCGAACCACGGACCCTCTGGTTGGTAAAGTTGCGTTCTAACCATTCGCACCCCAATCTCCGAACAATGGCTCACTTACTGACCGGAAGGTCTGTAGTTTGAAAGCTGACCTCTGCCTCTCGACTTCCCCTGTCTAGACTTGGGCAACCTGGCAGTATCTCTGCCTTTGTGCTTTCTTCGAATGGTATAACAGCTAGGCACTGAAAAGGTGTTACAGCTGAGCGATTTCGTTCCTAATCTTCCGTAATATGGCTGTCTAACTGTTCATCAGGACTGTGCCACCTTTGAAGAGTGCGGGGTTCAAACCATCCTTGCCAGGTACCTTATCGCGCTTCAAGATTGATGTTTCGTACGATTGAGGGAGTCGATTGCCGTTCGCTGATTGTTCCAGTGACACCTGCTTTCTTTTTATCGGTTGATCAAATCAGTTTAAACGCAGCTCGGCTGTTGCCTGCAGCGAAGGCCTTCGAAATCCATCAGCGTTCTTTGTCCTTCTTCAATGTAGGGTCTTGTTTGGTTACCGTTCCACTGGTCACTGACCCTAAATTCTGAACCGCGACGTAGCAGTTGTTAGAATTTCCTGGAGGAACCCTTCCCAGTCCAAACAACTCATCCATTGAGGACGCTGGGAATAGGGCATCACTATCTGATTTTTGGTGCAGCTACGCGTAGCAGGTGCCTTTTGAGCATCACCATACTCTTTGGCTTTAAAAGTACTTCGACCGTAGTGGGTAATGTGCCGGCTGCCTTAACCAATCTTTGGGCGGTCGGAGTTGGCATCGATTAACCGTTGATTCTTTCTGTATCTCCAGTCAAGCTCATGAGGGTCACAGCGACCCCATGACGGAGAGCAGACCGCACGAACAAGATCCACACTCTTCATAATCTCATTTTCACCTTTCTATCAAACCATACGTGGTGGTCTTGGCCATTATGAAGTTGGTACGACATAGCAGCGCTTCTGGAACATCGCAATCAGAGACCTAAACATGCTCTACATCATCTGCCCGCAGAGGCCATCCTTCACATCATACATCACTTACAAGCAAGTCCAGTGCATGCTGTCTTCCTGCTTACCTTAGAGTGAGGGCAATACCAAAAAGAGCTCGAGATGGCTCAGTGGTTAAAGCGCGAATTTACTGACAGAAGGTCCGTGGTTCTAACATTTGTGGGCATTTGTGGATCCAACTAGTCATGTCTTACTTTAGGGTTATACCTAGTGAAAGTACCATGGACAATGCTAGAGAACTTACTCCGGTCGATGAGTGTTTTGTGGTGCGGTGGTGTGGTCTCCGGACGAAGGCTCAGTTTACTGAACTGTTCATTTTAATTTACCTCATTGGTGTGAGGACTGACTCTTTCGGGTTTTTGGAGATAATCCTTAAATTACGATGGTACTGTTGGCTGTCTAACCACGGTGCTGTTCCAAATGGCCTCAGATAATGCAACTCTCCGTGTACCTTCAATATCACAGACGCCCATGAACCAGAGAATAAGTTGTTTTCCTTCCTAACTACTCTTGTTGTGCGGGTTAGTCACAACCGCGGTTTGCCACTATCAAGTTTAATATCGCCTGTTTGGGGCCACAATCAAACTGAGCAAAATAAGTCGTCAACCACACAATTATACACCCAACAAAATGTTTTTCCATGTTGGTTGATCCTCCAGGGTAATGATCGTGAAAGACCGGTTCACTTATTTTCCAGGCGCTGACTGGCAGTCAGTCATTTGACCCATCAAAGACAGCAACGTCATTTGACGGCAAACCTTGTACTGAGTTAACCCTGGTCCCAGTTGCTACAGTCATCAGAGGCAATAAATAATCGACAGCCAAACATTGGAGGCAAAAGCATGGTCATTTCGGTAACTCTAGTCATCATAGTTCTTAAGCTGATGAGGCTTGACGAACTAACTACGCACTACTGTGAGGTGAAAATGATCATACTGACATTTACTGCACAATAAAGTAAAGTATTTACGTCGTTTCAGAAGGGCTTGGCAAACAATCGGTAGTTTCTAATTGGGCAACGTGTCGCTTCTAACACAAAGCCGCGACACGACGATAAAGCTCACGAAAATTTCTATTTATGTACCAAATGAAAAGCCGTGAATAGCACTGGACAAAAAATACAAGCTATGACGCAGCGGTGGGATACCGTGTAACAATTCTGTCCAGTTAGTTTTGTGTTAACTATCCCTCCTTCTTATCCGTTCCTTGGTGTTATCTGTTGTTCTTTCGTTTTTCAGCTGCACGTGCCGCCCCGTTAGACGCATTACTTCGTCGTACATCTCATCGGATCCGTCAACTTCCTAGCGCTATGTAAGTAATCTGTTCATTTTTTCGACTGCTGGTTGCAGGACGGAACCGGAAGTACAGTTAAAGTCGTTGCCCGTGACCTTGCTGAAACGACGAAAACGGGCTAACAAGGATATAATCAAAGAACAAAGAGAGCGGTCAGAACAACTTCGTAAGCGAGCAAAGCTTAGACGAAGCCAGGTTCGGCGACCCGCCTTTTTCATTGCTGTATGTCACGTTTCGACTTTCTCGAGCCACTCATTTTCTAGTCCGCTCGCAAAAAGGCTCGTGATGAGATGCGTCTCTCACGACAGGCCATCCGAAAAAGTCCAGTGGTAGCTACCGATGCTGCCCGTCTTGGAGTCATCATCCGGTTGAAGCGAGAAGACGAAGAATTGTCGGACGATTGTCGCGCTGTTTTCCGGCTGCTCCGGTTAGATACTTACAACCAAGCCGTGTTCGTTAAGGTCAACCAGGTTGGTTATTCCGATTTTGTGAGCTTCAACGATAAATGCGCTTCTATAGGCTATGCTTGAGCTACTGGGTCTCGTAGCTCCATATGTTGCGTGGGGCTATCCAACTCTACAGACCGTGCGGGACCTCTTGGCGAAAAGAGGAAGGACATTTTTCAACCATCGGAAGCATGCAATCGACAACAAAATAATTGAATCCAGATTGGGTAAGGCAGTATGACAGTTAATTCCGTAGTGCGAAATTGCCGGTACGTACCTGCGCAGCCATCTATTTTTTATATAAAAAGGCGAGCAGATACTTTCATCACTCCCGTCTATCGTCCCGTCACCTCATGGGAATACTTCTTGTGTGGAATCGAATTTCAGCACCATAAGTGTTTTGGCCGAAACCTGTTCATATGTTCGGAATTCGATTTTGTTTGTCAAGGGGTAAGGGACGCAAACATTCGGCTCTTGAGCAATCTAGAGGTATCATCTGATTTGAGGTGCCTTGTGTAAGGTCATTTATGTTGATCATCTGATGCAACTTTTCAGGTTCTGTTAGTTTAAACTGTCTGAACATCATGTCGTATAGGTCCGTGGTTTGAACCCGACCTCGGCGTCTCGACTTCCCCTGGCTTGGGCGACCTGGCAGTATCCCAGCCCTCGTGCCTCCTTCGTGTGGAACGGCAGCTAGGCACCGAAAGGGTGCTACGGCTGAACGATTATTATTTATTTTATCCATCCACCCGGAACATTCCGTTCAGTTAGCTGCTTAGCGTTTCATGAGCAAATTATACGGGAATATTGCATACCTGCGGGTTTATCAGCTCACATTTTACTAACGCTATTCGAGACTCGGTCAGCCTCCTGTGCTTGGCTGTGTGTCTGATATCAAGGTGTATTTTACTCCTGACCTATCGCACATAAGATACAAGGGGCGAGAAACTTGGAAGAACCTTCATTCCCTCAAAAAACTATCCATAATGGCCGATTTGATGAGAACGGCGTAGGTTTTTTTTGTTCGTACCACGATCACTCCATGGCTCCATGCTGAGTATATGTCGTATGCGTCCTTAGATCCAAGTGGCCAAAAGTCCCTACCACTTCAATGACACAGGTGCTTTCCAGGTGACTACTTTGGTTCCCTTTCCCCTTATCGTGCCAATTTCTGCTCCCTTCACCCAAATTACGTCAGATGTTGACTCTCGAAGCATTTTTTAAATACACCAGATTGAACTTTGTCCCTCACTCCTAAGATTACCCATCCTCATCACCGATTTGGTATCGGGACATACTTCGTAACCTGCCACTTGTGACTAAACAGGTAACCTCAACAAGTCTCTGTACGTCAAATCATTCTTCACCTGTGTTTGGTAGCTGGCTTTTTACTCTCCCAGCCGTTACAGTCCCCGAGGCAAGTTTCAAGGTGCGGTGGAATCTCAAGCAGTGTTCTTGCCGTTCATCTAGACAAACTGACGTATATTGTGCTTTATTAATGCATTCACAATGCAGACTCATGTCTCAAGTCTTTAGGTGCAATAGTACCACAGTAATGGACAAAGAGACGTTTTCATTATGGCGTTTTGCTTGCTCTATCTAACAAGAGTTTGGGAATTTACGAATTTTTATTTGCAGGTGATATTTGGGGACCAAGGTTGATATCGCAGGCCATTGTTCTGTATGTCGAGCTTAGACCCGGAACTAATTAGCGCTTTTTTTCTAAAACACTTCAATGTGACGCATCATTTCATTTTTCTATGTCCAATCGGTACTTATCGTTTCGATCCGAAATTCGCAGTCTGGATTTTCGAACTTCTAACTAGCGACCAGCCTGGCTACTTGGAGTCTGAGCATAGGAGCAACAATAATTAAAGCTCCTGTCGTTGATGATGATGATAATTAAAGCTCTATTGACGGACTCAAGCATTATCCGAGTTTGATGGCAACACCGAATCAGTCAAGCTGAAGTACGTCCAATGTTTTTCGGAAGAAATAACTCACCCACGATAATAATAAAAAATAATCGTTCAACTGTTTCGGCGCCTAGCTGCCATGCAGCCCGAAGGAAGCACGGGGGTTGGGATACTGCCAGGTTACCCAAGCCTAGACAGGGGAGTTGAGAGGCAGAGGTCGGGTTCGAACCACGGACCTTCCGGTCAGTAAATTCACGCTCTAACCACTGAGCCATCTCGTCCCCCCGCCGGCACGATAAATGAACTGGCCACACTTCATAAGTTGCGCTGGATTGGCCACGCCCCCAATCGACCGACTTCCTCAAAGGACTCTTTTTTGCACAACCGTGTGAGATGCGGAAACGAGTCGGGGGAGGCCAAGCAATGACTTGGCAGCAAAATATGAAAGCCATTACCGGTAAACTCAGTTGAGCTGGTCATTGCCGTCTCCCTTGGTGGGGACCCTGACACGGGGTACATCATTGGTTAGACATTGTTAGACGTGGCCCAGTTGCGCCCTCAATGGCGCTTGTGTATTCAAGCTATCGCCTTCAATGCATAGCTCCCCTCCCAATCTCCGCAATTAAAAGTTCACTGATGACCCTGTATTTACGCCTCAATTATATCAGCTACCGCCTCTCGTGCTCAACTTCTTACCTCATCTCCCCAACTCATCAGGGAATGAAACTGTGGCAGCTGTGACCTGTGGCAGCTGTGAGCACTGTACGACAAGTACGCGGTTTCTGCAGCTGATGATGATGCTGAGCAACAACATCTCAGGATACGAGGGTATTCTATAACATAGTCAAGTGCAAATTAGTTCCTTCAACTCTCTCGTGGGGCTTCCGGTTCCATATTTTTGTTTAACAATAATTGAGCTAACCTCGCCTGACCAAGCAAATGTCTATTTACTTATTTATTTCGTTACTTCAGGTCATCACGGAATATTATGTTTAGAAGACGTAGTTCATGAATTGGTCACCATTGGCCCTCAGCTCCGTGCGGTCCTCCGATTTCTGCAGCCCTTCAAGCTAATGCCACCTAGCAAAAGTTGGCTGTCAGGCTCAAAACGTTGTCGTTCAGCAGCGGACAGGCTAACGGGAATGCGAGAGGAAAATATCAATGAGATGATACGGCGAATGATTTGAGCAGCTGTGTTTTTTTTCACCGCACTCTGTAAAAATATACTCCTGGTCCTTCTGTCTTCACCGAACACTTCTTAACCTTTGGCTCACAACGTCGCTGACTTCGTTACTTTTGTGTTCCTCAGCAGTCACAGCCAGTCAACTTTACCGTGTTATTGTCAGTTTAACCTGAACCTACAGCGGTCTCCCACCATAGTGGACAACCAGTCTTGTCATATTTTGAAGAACCAGTTTCTTAGTTTTTTACAGCAGCAGCTGGACCCTCACAACATCCGTCCTTGCTGGGCGATCCATATCGATCAGCCTTGTCGATGGTAGTTGTGGAGGGGTTTGACTAATAACTGGAGGCGGAGCTAATGCAAGTAGTAAAAAAACAAGTAGACGGATCGTTGCTGTGTTCAGTGTTAGTAGTCCTGTGGCACAGAATCACAAGTCGCTTGCAGAGTCGATGAATACTTTGATAATGAAATGAATTGTGTGGTCATGGGTCGGTTGGCTTTATGAAAAAATTAAGCTGCCCGAAAGTTGTACGAAAGTTCTCGATAACTTCACAGATCCCTTTCGTTGCCCAGTGTTGATTGGTGAAATTCATTAACAAAAATTAAAAACTTCACATTGTCTGCCTAAAACTTCTCGCTTTTGAGACCTACGTCGGTTGTATTTGTGAGTCTTTCGCCACAACGGAGTGACCATTTATTCCATTTGTAGCGTAGCCACCTACCCCCCCCCTCCCCCAAATAATCGGTGAACGAAACTGTGGCAACTACAACCACAACTGTACGACGAGTACGCGGTTAATACAGCTGACAATTGTGATGACGATGATTTGTAGCGACCATTGGTTTTGGGCGTTGCGTCCGTCATGGTTAAGAGCTTCCATTTAGCACTATATTTATAGGTAACTCTTTTCAGGATAATTATTCTGATCCCCAAAATGCATTTCGCACACCTAAGCGCGTAGCATGACATATAGTAGGACGAGCTAGGAGGGAGCTATTATCATACTGTGATTTCACCGTGCTGGTCGTCACTTTTTCCTCTATCGTTTTTGTATAACCCCCAGGATATCGCTTAGGTGTAATTGCAGAAGGACCCCCTCATCAGTATCCAGTACTACGGGTCTGAGAAGACTGAAACAGGACAAATTTGTGGTTTATTTCCGTCAGCAAAAGTTATACGCTCATAGATTCTTAAAATGTTGCCTGATCGAATCATTAAAGTTGAAGTTCTTTGGTGTGTGCGAAGTCCCTCCAACACTTGTCAGTCGGTCGCGGAACTGACGAGGCCATCCGGTCTGCCCTATAGTAGGGCTGGTTTTCAAGCGCTCTGTACGCCTTGTCATATCAGCTCACTGAGCATCAAATAAACTCTGTCCGATGTCGCTGATTTCGCACTCAGTCGTTAGATCATTCAGTTGATTTTCTCTACGTAACTTGGCCAGTGTGCATACTTGATGCAACAGTTCGTCCAATTGCGGGTTTTGCTGATCCGAGGTGACTTCCGCCCTGGTGTATTTATCCGAAGAGCCATGCTCTGGCGCAACCGACTGTGTCATATAATCAGAAAAGAAACGGACGGAATGGACTGAGAACTCCTTCCATATCGGCGAGGGTTGCTGCAATAAAAGGCACGCTCTGTGCAGTCTATGCGGTCGCACAACACACTCAAAGTCCGGTGGCAAGGAAACCGTAACGTCGGCACAAGCGCCTTCACAATAATGAAATTGTGGCATCAGTTGAATTCGAAACAGATTAAGCCAGGTTGGTTTATCGACAATCTAAAAAGCAACTTAGAAGAAACCACGTGTCTCCACTAACCTTATCTTGATAACAAAGCATCCCAGCAACAACACCTGTGTAGTGGTTGCAAAATCGCACCTCTTTTAAATAGTTTAGCGAAGTTTCGTCGAAATGATATTCTTGAACGACACATCCCGGAAATGTAATGGCCGTACCAGCGAAACCGACGCATTTTTTCGTTTCGTGTTTAACTGTCAGCATTGTGGGTTTGTGTGCTGAAAATAATCGGAAATGTATTATTACAGTGTGCAGGATAACTCTTAGACAACTGATCGTCAACACCAACCCGTTTAGCTCTGTGGATCACGATGAGGATGACTGTGATTAATAACACTATGGGTAGCCAGTACGACATTCTGGTTTGGTGATTGAGGCGATGTGAGTGGCGTTCATGCTGTCAAGTTCTTTCCAGATTGTCTGATTGAGCGGTTGGAGGTGTAGGCACCTCAGTATGCTTGACATAGGCCAGCACCAGGTCCCCTTCTTACCCACTCTTCTCTTCACTGTAAAGCTTTTAATACAATATATATATATATATATATAACTAGACGAACCTTACGGTTGTATGATAGTGAAGCATCAGTGCCAACACTGATGTTGCTGTCTTTGATGATGATTATGATTGAGGGTTCTTGGGTGTTCGTAGTTATTACCAAGAATTTGTAACCTACGGTTTCAAGAAACAGCAGCCTCCGTTAGTGTCTGTTGAATGCTATCCGCTTAACTTATTAATTTCAGTGGCACCGTTCCGCCGGAGTGGTGTCGCAGCCGAGCCCATCCTGAAAGACTGTTTTCCGTGAGAGAACGAAATAAGTTTATCAAACATTACTTTGTTCTTCACGACTTTTGAACACATCTCGAGCTAACTCTCATCTGAGTTAAAAACACTACAAGACTCCAGTCAATTTTACGGGACGCATGTTCAAAGAACATGTACCCGAGTAGAACCTGAGCGCTACGAAGCCGCAGTTCTTATTCTCCCTCTAGTCTACCGCCAGTTCAAAACCCTACCCAAAGCTGCCACCTTGATGTCTTGGTCGGGTTTGAGTCCTGCAATGATCCCGCGAGCTACATCGGCCGTTCCACAAGGTGAAACGATGCCAGGAAGACCAAAGGGGAGCAGTCAGACCAAGAGCAGCGAGACGCCGTACTACGAAGCGGTCTGGGGGTAATGTCGTACTGTCCTCTGCGATAGGATTGTGGAGGTCGTAATGTGTTTCTCGCGCAGTTCGGTGCCCACTGACATCCCTCTCCAACCCTCTTCCACCACACAAGCAAACGTCGCTGGGTCACTTGACTGTCAGTTATCTTATTGAAGGGCCTTATGCTCGTCGCTGCCTATTAACAGTAAACAAAATAACACCCTTCTAAATCCACGAGATCCCTTCGATATGTCAAATTGACAAACAAGCAATGATCACTGAGACCTTATACTCCCTTGAAACTGACGTATGCTATGTCTCTGAAACACACATACAAGACCCGATCACAGTTATGCATCTCAGAATGCCAAGGATGAGCTCAGCTCTTTCACATTTCTCCCTCTGTGTCCGGTGACCCAGAAGCGATGACTGGTGGAATATATGGCGTGGGATTTGCGCTCAGTTTCAGAGCTCAGCGCGCCTCGCTAGATTGGATCCCAGTGAACAGTCTTCTTTGCGCCACCCGATTATCCAGTTCAATCAAGCTCAATGCCTGTCGGTGCCCGTTTTTAGTGTCGGCTTATGCCCCAACGGACTACAGCTCTGGTGCTGAGAAGGCTACAGTCGAGAGCTATCCGGGCTCATTCGTCAAGCAAAATGCATTGACATTGTGATTCTTGCAGGCGATATGAATGCTCAAGTAGGCCGTCTTAGCTCACTTGAATTATATTTGGGCTGTCGATTTGGAGTCTATGTTCGACGCACAGAAAACGGAGATCGACTCCTTCAGTCGTGTGCTGACAATGAAGTATTTCTGGCAAGTACGAACTTTCAACATAAGCGCTCGCATCGCGTAACCTGGCTAACCAACCAGCCAACTGCTAATCAACCGTATACCCAGTTGTACCACGTGGCAATCAGCCACCGGTGGAGAGCCACAACTCAAGACTGCCGTTCCTTCTGGGACACACCCCTTGATTCCGATCACGCCATAGTGCGTGAATGCCTGACAGTTCACTTCCATTCAGGCCCTCGCAAATTAGCAAGAAGCATACCAATCCACTATCATTGAAGAACGACGATAGCTCAACATTATCGATCTGAGCTAGCCCAACAACTCTCCACAGTAAACCAATACTGTGGTGGCAGTGAGCGTGTGGATAAAACGTGGCAAAATGTGAAAGGAGCTATGTTGGTGGCGTTCAGTGCTGTCTGACCGACCTCTCCAATTCGACCACAAGACCACTAAATGTCGATGTTCCGCCACGGGGCCACTGGATGTCGTCGAGGTCGTTATCCATGATTGATGCCAGGAAAGCCATACCAGCAGGCAACGAGTACGACGGTGTACGCAAATCCCTCAAACGCCAAATATTGAGGAGTCTAAGGAAAGACCGAGAGCGTGGATGGACATCGAAAGCTCTGGAGATGGAGAAGACATTTCCTTCGGGAAAGAGCCGTGCCCTTTATCAAGTAATACGATCGACTGGCCCTAGGAAAGCAACGGCCAGTGAAACGGTAAGCGATAAAGATGGCTCATCAATTCAGTCGCAAAAACGTCGACTGGAAGGATGGGCCGGACACTTTGAAGAACAGTCTACCTGGCCTCGTGCGACGCAGCCTTTAGAGGTAGTGCATTCAGGCGAATGGAATGTAAACGTTGATCGCCATTAGGAAGAACAAACCAAGTACGAAATATCCGCGCTAAAACGTGAGGAGACACCAGGACCGGACGTTCATGGTGTTAGCCATCCCTGGCGATCCATCTGACAACGCTTATTTGTACCATATGGAACGAAGACAAGATGCCTGCAGAATGGGGTATGTCGACAGTTATCCCTATCCTCAAAACGGGTATGCGGACGCTGTGTAGAAACCACCGTGGCATCAGCCTGTTAGCTGTGGTATCAAAGGTAATCTCCGGCCTTATCCGTCGATGGTTAACTGAACACGGGGAGAGACAGATCCGTGAAGACCAAGCTGGGTTCCCTTGTGGAAGAGGTCGCATCGATCATATCTTCACCCTCCGACAGATTCTGGAACAGTGACACCGCTTTCAGCAACCAACAATGATTGTGTTATTTAATCTGAAAGTGGCCTTTGACTCTGTGGACCATCAAGTACTATGGCAGTGCCTGCTGAGCAAAGGTGCCCCGTAAATTCTTGACCTTCCTTAAGACGCTGTACGCCAACTCCCGCGGCCGTGTGGAGTTCTACGAGAAGCTGTCGCCTGAGTTCTTTTAATCAAGT